TTTACTATAGCAAACGCGAAATTTTTAGGCTCCAATTTATATACCGTATTCTCGAACCAGAGTAGTTTCACATTGCGAAACGTACGCCACAAGTTTCCACGTACTTTAATCATATCGAAAAACAGAAACTCGTGTAACTTTTGTTCCGGTACGTGGCACGAAATAAACTTTTTGTTTACCGCAAAAATTAGGAAGGGAATATTTTTAACGAAATGCAAAAAAGAGAGAGATAAAAAAAGAAATGACGCGGAATAAAACTCTTTCTAATCTACAATTAAGATTTTTTTAGGAACTCTTATTACAATTGAAAATGGGAAATTTATTTTCATTGGAAAATTTCAAAACGTTTTCGTGTCTGGTGCGACTTCTACTCTTACACACATGATATGTAAACTCTGTGCAGTGGAATTTGTATGAGCAAGAGAGTTGGGCGATAGCAATTTCCTGCATAATAATATACACGATCAATTTCCAGATACTGTCTAGTTTGGTTTTTCCGAGCTATACATATATATAAAGAATACTTTACATTTCTTGCCAAAATTGTAAAAATATTATAACATGAAGTTCTTTATGTTGCTACTATTAATATAAAAAAATAAAAACAAGAAAATAGAAATGATATAAATTACAAACAAATGTTGCCAATTAAATCGTAATGTAATATTAAAAGGACAACCTTTTGTTATACGACAGAGAAACGGTTGTGTATTGGTTTGATTTAAGAAATTTGTTTTATTATAAATCTCTCTTTGTATACATACTTATACACATGATACATACACATGAAAGTTGTCTTTTATTTTAAATTTTTTTTCTAATAATACTTCATTAATGTAAAATATGCGATATGTGTATTTTAATGATTGATATAATTGATACAAATGATATCTTACATTTATCTTCTAAAATATTTTTTATGCAATTATTTTGACAATGCACTTTATTACGGTGATGGGATAAATATAGAAAATATAAGCGTAGATGTATAATATATGTATCAAAGTATACATAATATGGCTTTTCGTAAAATAATGTTTTTTTATAAAAGATCTTAGCTTTTGTAGTATAAGCAAATTATTGTATAGATCATCCTTTTAAAAAAATTATTCTTTGTAACAATGCTAAATTTATAAAAAACTTGTGAAATATATTTACGTATATATAAAAATTTATGTATGTGTGTATATAATCATATATTTATATAATATAAAGACATATAAAAACTATTAATAAATATATGACAAATATACGTATA